TTCTAGCTTTACCTCTTTTTTCTTCTGCATGATTTCTTACCATGAATGTTGGACTATTATGAGGACTTTTGCTATTCCTAATCAACTTTTTATTAAGCAATTCTTTTATTTGTTCATCAAACTCCTAAATATCTTGGTAGGTATAGACCATTTGTCTTACTCTAATAATCTTGTTCGGATTTGTTAGAGTTATCTTAGCAAATGCCTTATCTTTTTCCCAATGTTCTAAAGGATTTGTTGAATATAATTTTTCACATAACTTTTCTTGCTTCTTATTTATCTGATCTATTAATGATGAATCATACTCAAAAATTCAAAGTGCAACCTCTCGTTGTGTAGGAGTAACCCTATCACCACGCTGGCTGCGCGTAAATTCCATAGTCTGATGAGTAGAAGCCTTTGTGATTTTCTGTATAGGAACAGAATGACCATTAATAGTAAAGATTATTTGATCAATAGTTTGAGTGCATGGAGAGTATAATCTTTGAAAATTATTTCCTATTATCATATCATGACTAGGTTGATCAGTTGCCCATAAAATAGGAATAACACATTGAACTCCTCCAATTTCTATTGGTAATTCTTCAATTATTTCAGTATGCATCATGACACTATTATTAGCAATTCTAACTTGCATAGGATTTTTAGCCTTTTTCCACAAGAATTCTGGAAATAAAGTCCTCTTTCCAAAACATGTAGAACAACCACTATCAATATATGCACATAATTTATATTTATTATAATGCTCAATGCATATAGCAATTGGAATATAAATGCTATTAGGATTAGTACTAGATATTTCATTATAAGCTTCCATTTGCATATTAACTTCATCTTCATATACTAGTTCACTCACGGTTTTGGTTTTATATCCAATTACTTTTCTAATAGGATTATTTGGATCTTCATTTAACTCTAAATTAGAACATGACCCCATATCAATGCTATGTCTTGCCGATTGTTTTAAGGCTTTTTTACTTTCATATTTTTCATTTAGTTTCTTTAGTAGAACTAATATTTCTTCTTCATCTTCTTCCGCCTTTTCATCACCTTGTTTTTTCATTCTTATTATTGTTGAATTTTTTCTACTTAGACTTGGTGTTCTAAAACTCAGATTTCTCTATATTTTAGGCTTTATATTCATTCTAATATGAAGTAATCCTGATTCATCAATTAACTCTTACTTGATCTATTACTAACTGCAGGGTTCATAAAGAATTCCTCCCAAGTTTTTCAATTTCAATTTCATTAGGATTTACTTTTATAGGTGTAATTTTCTTCTTAGGACCTCCTCCTTGCTCATATTTCTGAGCATCGACTATTTGTTTCTTAAAAGATGAGTCTATAGTGTTTACCAACTTATAAACCACCTTCCATCTTAATTGTATGGGTCGTGTTCCTTTATGCATTTTCACTCCTTCTGTTAATAGCTTGATAGCTAAAAACTTTGACGCAAAGGAATCCTCTAAGCTCACATTATATCTAGGTTCACATATATAGCTTACCGTTCCTTGACTTAAACTACATGTGATACCACTGATTATTTGATCATAAAATTTTGTATGTCTAATATCACAGATAAAACTCAAGCATTTAACATCCTTGCCAAAATCTTGTAAAGGAGTTATGTATACATGTACTGCACCAATACAAATATAGCTATAATTTCTTTTTTCGTTATGTTTTTTAATACTTTTCCAGTTTATGATATTAATTTCGGCTGCTTTTTGTTCACAATCTTCGATTACAATGCTTCCTTCCATTTATTCACATACATATTTAATTCTAGTTTTAAAGAAAGAAGTTTTAAATATTTTATCCTTATTAATATGGGGAAAAATCCAACTTTCTTTGTTTATTTGATCTAGGTCATTATCTTGAAATGAATACTCAACTCTTTTTAGTTGACCTATCGTCATTTTGCTTTTATCTTCCTCATTGTCATCTGACTCTGAATTTTCTAATTTTTCTCCTTCCATCATATTATTTATTTCTTCATAATTTTCATCTTCAAACTCATCACTAACTTCATGTTCTTCATTATATTCATTTTCCTCTTCCATGATTTCTATTATTCCTTTAGTATTACTTAAAGCCAATTCTAAAGCCTCGTCTTCTGGTATTTCTATGTAATCCCAACTTCCCAGGGCCTCCATTAGTTTATGATTAGCTTTCTTACATTCATTAGCATAATGTCCTAATTCTCTACAAGACCAACATTTACATGTCTTTTTTTTCTCAGGACAATATGTTGCCTTTCTGAAAAACCTACTTGGTTTTCTATATTTATGTTTATAATACTTCTTCTTATAAGTTTCTCCTCTTGATCAGTCAACTTTATTTTTCTTATAATTCCTTCTTTTATTATAGGTTTTTTCTTTCACATCCATAGTTGTTTGGAAAATACCAACAAGTGAGAAATTGTCTCTTCATTTGTTGAGTTCCTGCAACCTCTCTACATTTCTTTTCAATCCATTTTCTTAGAAAAGAAATTCTATTACCTAGGGCATCCCTAGCTAAGAATTTCTCTCTTCGTTCTTGATATTTTTCACTAATTTCTTTGTTAAGGAGACTGGGTAATTTGTCATAGAACATTCCTAGATTTGTTTCATTTTCACCTATTTTATAATAATATGTTTCAAATTCCATAATGTAATTATCAACATATTTCATATTACAGATGGACAAATTACTTAACTTCCTTTGATATTCCATTCGTTTTTCATTAAGATTGGCTCTAGGACCAATGAATTCTAACTCAATGTATTGACATAACTATCTAAACATTCTATTAGGTGATTCACTAGCTCTTACGGCGTGTTTGGATTGAAGGAAATGGAGGGAAAGGAAGGGAAGAGAAATGGAGAGATGGAGTATCTTTCATTTGGATAGAAAATGGGGAAGGGAGGGAATTGGAGGGGAGGAAAATGGAAGGATTAAATTGTAGAAAATTGATCCCTCCAATAATTGAGAGATTTGGAAGGGAAACTCATCCTTTTTCCCTCCCCTCCTCTTCTCCTCCCTCCCCTTCTTTTCCTTCCCTTTTCTTTATCCAAACAATCTGTTAATGTAGTTTTGACTTCTTCCTCTATTCCATCGTACCAGTCTTCTACACAGCCATAAAGACTATGTTCAATATAGTCTAAGAAAATTTCTGAAGTCCAGTCAGTGTTTAAATTAAGTACACTACTTATATTCTTATTCCACTAATCTAATTAAACATCTTGTCTATCTCTTACACCATTTAGCTTAAGTTTATAACCAGTTTGACTTATAGGTTCAAGAGTCACTTCTTCTTATTTAGGTATATGATTAGGCATAACCTTGACACTAAACCGGGTAGTCTTCCCTGGTATGTATCTTGGTCTTGTGCAACTTCCTTCTCCTTGATACCTAGGTCTTTGGATAACATTGTTTACGTTAATGTTTGCATTAATAATTTCCTCTCCAACATCATTATTATCCATTACTCTTTTTCCTAGTTTATTTTCAATCTTTTATCGAACAACTTCTATGGGCAGAAAGTCTAGATCATTTAACTTCATTAATCCCATTTGTTGATATAAATCTTCCTCTAAAGTAACATAATTACTTTCCTCTGTTTCATTATCAGAAGCAATCTCTTTTTTAGAAATTAAGTTCATGCACTAGTGGAAAAAATCTCATTCGTAACAGGCTATTCGTAACGGGCAAAGCTTTGCCCGTTACAATTAAGATATTCGTAACGGGCAAAATAGTGTCCGTTACATATACTTATTTATTTCTAACGGGCAAAATAATGTCCGTTACAAATACGTATGTAATTGTAACGGACAAATTAGTGCCCGTTACAAATAAATAAGTATTCGTAACGGACACTATTTTGCCCGTTACGAATACTATATTACACGTAACAGACATATTGTGCCCGTTACAAATGCCCAAACTTGGCCTAACGTATGAGAGGAGCCTAGTATTTGGCTTTTTAGGGTTTCACCCAAATGCCCAAACTATGCCGTCATTCGCCTCTTTCTCTCTCATCAGTCCATCACTCCCTCTCTCTCTCCTCTCCTCTTCTCTCCTCCCCGACCGTTGCATCGGAATCTGCTTTTAGTACGGGAGGTCGTACTCTAGATCCATTTCGGAGTTCTTTAACTCCTAAGGTAATGCATCGTTATCTTTTTATTTTATAAAATCAAGTTTGTTTATATCTTAATATGACTTTGTTTATACATATTTGTGTAATATTTTTGTATTGAAGATGGTTCAAGCGTTACTTTGCACACAAGATTGGCTTAGAGCTAAGGAAGTGCCAATTGTTGATGTGGAAGAAAATTTGAAAGAGTTAGAGGAAATAGAGAAAGGTAGTAATAATTTTATGTATTTGAAATTTTGTTACACCAAATTTATTATTTCATTGTTATCAATCATTAATATATTCTATATTGTATTTTATTTAGAGGTGCAACGTGGTGAATCTAACGATGTAGACGATGAAGTTGTTTTCGTGGACTCATTAGTGTGAATCACGCGATCAAAGGGAAAACAACTCGTTGGAGAATTTATGTATTTCTAGTACTTGAGAGTTGAGACTTAAGAGAATTTATGTAATTTTATGAGTTTTCGTGGACTTATTTGTATTTTCGGTGGACTCATTTGTATTTTTGGTGTTTGAGAATCGGGACTTTATAGAGTTTATGTAGTTTTGTAATTGATAATTTTGGTTTGTATGTAATTATTAAATTATGCAACAAGTTTAAAAATCACAAAACAGGTCCATATGCAGGTCCAACAGGTTTTGTATTAAAAAAAAAAAAACGAAAAAGACACAAAACAGGTCCATTCAGGTCCAAACCCGGACCGGACCTGATTTTTCAGGTCTGGCCCGGAACCGGACCTGTTAATTCAGGTCCGGTCCCCGGTCCTCATAATTACCCAATTCAGATCCCCGGTCCAAATGGGTCCGGTCCAGGTCCGGTCCGGTTTTGGACCGGTGTACACCCCTACTAGTCCCCGTAATTCAACAATCTTCCCCATCAATCTCAGGCCCTCTCTCATCTCATTTCAAAATCACGACCTCTCTCCTCTACTCCATCAATCTTCCCCTTCCATTGGAGAAAAACAGCGAGATGGAACGACGAGAGAGAAAAATGGTTAAATTGACTGGGGTTGCGCCGGATCTCCTTCCGCCGCCCTCCTTCACCGCTTCTCCTTAATCTTGCACGCAATTCTCGCCGCCTTCACTAACCCTAGATACCAATTTTCAAATGATTATTATTTTTTATGTTTGAATTTCTGGATTCGTTTTTATTTTTTTAATATACGGGTTTGTTTGATCTAATTTGTGTGACTTGATTTGGATGATTGATGGGTTTGTGTTAATTTTGCTGGATATTTTGTTGTGTATATTAGTTAATTTAAACATTTGAAATCACCTAGTTTTTTTTTTTATTTGATTAGTTCTTTTTTATTTCGTTGATTTTGATCTATTTGTTGTGCTCTATCTCTGTTTTTACTGGATTAATTAATTTAAACAGTTGAAATCAATTAGGAAATTTTAAATTGATTGATTGATAAACTGAATTTTCAGGGTTTGTGATTTTGTGTTTTGAATCCTTGTTTTTGTTGTAAAGTTTGTAAATTTTACTTGATTTGGAATTTTATGGTTTATCATGTTAGGGTAATGATATGTTTTTATATATGTAATGTTGCAAATTGATAGCTTCTGCTGGTTTGTTCTTCTAATTAGGTTAAAAAAAGTAGTGAGTTTTGTTTAATTATCATAATTCATGCTATATTTGAGATTTTAGGGAGGAAATTAGTATATAGTTGAATTATTAGTGATGATTTTGTGAAATGGATGGTTTATAGGTGGGAAGAAATTTATGAAGCCACGTCATCCTTATGAGAAGGAGTGACTGGATGCTGAGTTCCCCATGCTTTGAGCCGTATCTGTAATGCTGCTAGGCATCTTCTTACTCTAGATGAGAAGAACCCTCGCCGTATCATTGAGGTCTTTTGAGGAGGATGAACAGGTACGGGCTATTGGATGAAGGACAAAACAAGCCAGATTACATGTTGGCTCTTACCGTTGAGAACTTAGCTTCTTAGAGATGTGTCTTCAGACCCTTATCATCAAGTATGGTATGGCCAAGTCTGTTCACCATGCTAGGGTGCTTATCAGGCAGAGGCATATTAAGTATCATATTTGAATCCCTTGTTACGTTTTAATTGCAATTATTGATTGTTTTCTGATGTGCATTGCTTGATGTTTTTAATTGCTTAGTATTGATGGTGTTCAGTGTTGGATACGTTTTCGACATAGGTAGGGTGTTATACTAGATTCTAACTCAATGACTTCCAATGATTTAGTTTTTTTAACCCATCCATTTCTCGACTGATTCTTGTGTGAGCCAACATCTAGCCAGCTTAAATGTTAGTATAGGTGGCCATTTATACGGTTGAGGTTTTTGTAACCTAATAGTCTCAAGACTCTCATCTTATCTGTTATTTAACATGTGAATATGCGATTACCTGTATGTTATATCTTTTGGTGTCACATTGTCATTAGTGTTATATAATCTTCAAATATGATCTTCTATGCTAAATGGCTTAATTATATACTTGTTTGGACTTGTCAATGTAATTATAAATGCCATCTGTATGCCTAAAACAAGATGAAGAATTATCAGTGCGCTTGGTTACTCTCATGATTTATACACAAGATGAGACGGTCTTATGAGAGCTTTTGATTTTTGATAACTTGTTGGTTTGCTAATGTTAGTTGTTGCTGCTGTTGTCGTTCTAAGTTGTAACAAGATTTAGGTCTGTTGCTTCATTGAATTCATCAGATTTGTTATTGGTGATGCAAAACTAGTGCATTTAATGATCGTTTTAAACAAAGATTAGATGTCTTAGTCCTAAGACAAAATAGTCACTTTGCAACATTACTTTTATTCAAGGAGTAATTATAAAAGTAAAAAGCGGGTTGGTGGAAAATAGATTTGAGTTCATCATATATTCTTGTGAGTTTTGCTCAGTTAGTTTAGGACTTTAGGTTCATGCTTTTTTTGACCTTAAGTATCTGTGAAAGCCCATGATAAATGAACACTGGCTGTGGTTTGCAATTGTTTGAATTTTGGTGTACGATTTTTAAGTGGAGAAAAGCTGCTGATTGAATTATTGGGTGCAGAGTAAATTATAATTGGGGGACATATCAGTCAAACATCTGTATGTATATGATGTGTATTGATCTGTTACTTTTACCTTTTTTATTTTTATTTTGTTTTTTTATGCTTTGTCCTAGATATTAGGCAGCCATTTCCTAATATCTTTCTCTGTATCATATTATGCATTATTGTCCTAATCTCATGTAATATACAGGGGAGGTTTTCTATCCAGATTGGACATCTTTCAAGTTCAAGCAAGTGACCTGTCTGGTAGTTCTTTGGAAAACAGTCCTCATAGTTTTAGAGATGATCAAACTCAGGCTAACAGCACAAATGAGGGCATTGACAGTACTCATGTACCAAATGATCCTCAGATTGAGGTTCTTGATGGTGCTCAAGTACAGAATGAGCTTGCAAATGAGATCCTAGATGATGCTCAACAAAATGAGTCTGCAAATGAGATCCTTGCTGGGACTTGTGAACAAAGTGGTGTTGAAGGAAATGCTGGTGTTGGTCCATATGCTGATGTAAATCAGTCGAGAGGGTAGTGGGCACATTAATTTACAACAATTGGAAGTTCAAGCTGAAATGATGCTGGAGCTTGCCTCAGATGCGGAGAATAGATCAGAGACAGTTACGAATTTTTTGAGATGTAAATTTAAAATTTGGTGTGCCATATTTTGATAATATTTGTGTGCCTTTGTGGCATGGAAATCAGTATTTGGGTTTTTGTTTGTTAATTATTATAAATGATAATTTGTTAATAAGGTGCTTGTTACAAATACCCCTAATATTTTGATTTTTCAAGACATTATTCGTAACGGGCAGTCAAAGTGTCCGTTACAAATAACTGGCTATTTGTAACTGGCAGTCAACATGTCCGTTACAAATACCTGGCTATTCGTAACGGGCAGTCAACTTGTCCGTTACAAATACCTGATTATTCGTAACGGGCACTTAACCTGCCCGTTACAAATACCTGGCTATTCGTAACGGGCACTTAACCTGCCCGTTACAAATAACTAGTTATTCCTAACTGACAAGTGCCCGTTACGAATAATATTTCTATCCGTAATGGCGGTATTCGTAACGCCTGCTGCCCGTTACGAAAAGCCTATTTTTGTCCGTTACGGATAGGCTTTTTTCCACTAGTGATGATTTCGTTAAGCTTATTAGGGTCTTTTTCTTTATCGAATAGGGCTTGTAATTCATGAAGTGTTTTCTCCTGAAGATAAGGGTTCATTTTTAGTGTCTTTATTCTTTTCTTGGTTACTAATAGGTCTTTTAGGGAGTGATACAATAAACTTTTTATTTTTATCTAGATTTTGAAAAGGATACTTATATTTATACGGGACAATTTTCTCTTTATTTGGTGATACTTCTTTTCCGAATTGATGTCTAACTTCGTTTGTTAAAGCAAGTTGAACTTGTTTAACCTGTTCTTTTAGATCGCTTACTTTTTTTTATTAATATCGGTTGTGGTTATTGATATTTTATTCTCAATATTAATACAACGAGCATGTATATTATCAACTTCTGATCTTAATTCACCAAGTTGATCCACTATATAATTAAGGATTGGGCCAAAATTACTAGTATTTTCAGGAATATGATAATAATGCTTAAAATCAGGTTTCTTACACTCAGTAGAAGGTCTAGTATTCTCCAGTTTTACTTAATTTAACTTTTAACCGTATGGCTCTGATACCAAATCACGCAGCTTAACAGTTTCTAATTTATTATAACTGTATTGTCTTCCTTAATTACATATTTCACTTATATAATAACAGTATACAAATATAATACTTAATTTCTAACACAAATACTTATTCTTTTAATATATAAGTACTACTGAAAAGAGCAAAATAACACCTCGAAAACAATATTGAAGAAACATATAACAACATTAAATTTTATTTTAACAGGCTTAAACTCAAAATAACAGTATTAAAATAGGAAATGATGTTTTTCCAACACTTAGCGAAAAAAAAAAAATTTCAACGGTGGTATGGACCTTCCTAGTCCCTACCTGATAGTGCGCAATACTTTCTCTACAAATTAGGGGTGACATTGAAAAGTCTCTCACACACACACACAAGGGTGGACTTCAGGGGTTTTGCTTATCTAAGGGGGAAGGAGGCAATTGATCGATTAAATAGTTGAATTGTTTACCAAAATGATTAAAAAGGTCTCAAACATTCATCGATCATTAGTCACTATTAACTGGAAGTACGTAGTATATATATCTACCAATTTAAATTTATGCAATTGTTAATATGTTTCTCAATCGTATTTACCTATTGATAGATAAGCAATCACTAAATGAGTAATATTTTTCATAGTTAAAAACACATATTGTTATAGTATATAGACATAACAAAATCGGATTGAATACTAATAAAACAAGTAGGGACCCTCGGAAAGGGAGTCCTCCTCACGTTGAACATTGAGATGTGACTCTGAAACTCACTCAACTACATAGCATCAATTGCAGCAATATTTGATTGAAGACCACTCCATCTAGCACCCTAAGAGGGTAGCAAACATGGACCCCCTTGGTTACAACCTTCCACTACTACTCTAGTTTAAGACTTTGGAATGTGTGACAAAACCATTAATTAGCTCAAGCTAAACCAAAGCACATGAAGCTGTTACTCTTGGATAAGGCAATTTGAGTGCATATAGTTTTTAAGTGCTTCTGAATGAAGCCACTAAAAAGGGTTGGAATCCAAGAAAAACCTTTTGATTTTCAAGGGAAAGACAAGTGTTTGTTCTTAAGATTTTAGTTAAATGATTCTAATCCCTAAAAAGCATCCGGCATTATAATGACTTGCATTCAACCATAAGCTAGGAACCCAAATTACTAAAAATAAAATAAAAGAAATAAAAAAAATAAAGTAAAAAGTCCAAGGTAAAAGTTTGTCATAGTGGAAAACGACCACAATAATCATCATACATTTTATTGGGACGTTGCATGAGAATGATGTCGAATGTTATATTTGAAACAAGTTAGCATACATTTTCTGTTAATATTCATATCTTGTGGGGTAGTATCTATAGAATGTCATTTTCTCAAAAAAAAAAAAAAAAAAAAAAAAAAAAAAAAAGTCGTAGTCCTTTCTTTCTTACATTGAAAATATTATGTTCTATTTTTTTTTCTGTTCCTAATTTGATTGTTATGCAAATCTAATTCTACTTAAAGAATTGCTTCCTCAATTTCTAAATAAGTTTTAAATCCTATTCACTTCAACTTATTTTTGCTGTACTTAAATTATTTTTATTGAAATGAAATTATTTTTGTTGAACTAAATTTTTTACTAAACTAAATTTTTTTACTAAACTAAAATTATTTTTACTATTGTCGATTATATTTTTTCTTTGAAATTACTAATTTTTATGAGTTGAATTTATTTTTACTTAACAGAATTTAATTTTACTAAATTGAAATCCGTTTACCTTTTGTACTTAAATTACCTGATTTTATAGAAAGAACAAATATTGCTATGTAAAATTTTACTAGTTCAATCACTCTACAAATTTCTGTATATAATAGTAATTAAATATTGTTGTATTATTGGTCAAAGTTTTTTATTAGCATTTGTGTTAGTCAAAATAATGCATTTATTGATAAAGAGGGACTAAGAGAGAATAGACATTTTTGTTTTAGATTTTTTTTTTCTTTATTGAATAGATATATTGAAAACATTTTATGACAAAACAAATTCAAAAAGATCCATGACAGGCACAAAAGGTAAACTAATTTATATTACTCAATACATAAATGTTATTGCAATCAAAAATATTAAATTGGATAAGGGTAATAGAACTTAACATGTGTTCCATTCATATAATTTGATAAAGTGAGCGTAATTTTATATAACACTGGCCTTAGCTTTTGACTAAACATTTAACGAAACAAGTTTTCTATTTGTTTGTAAGTGTAAAGAAAAGGCATGAATTTTAAATTTTGGTACAGAACGATCACTTTTTAGCTTTACAATTCTAACAACCATTGGGTGATTGCATTTTCTAGTAAAAAGTGATTAAACATCATCCTTTCTATCATAAAAATGTGTTATTTCTTCATTCCTTGAATGATAGAGTAGGTTTGACTTACTTTAAATGTTGTCACAGTAGTTTAATTTTGACCAAATATTTTTTATATTTTTAATTCTTTTATTGAATTGTTAATACGTATGATGCGGAAAATTGTAGACAATAATTGTAAGAGCATAAAATAGATTCATGTATTCTTGTCCCAAAAAAAAAAAAAAAAAAAAAAAAAAAAAAAAAACAAACCCAAAGAGAGAGGATGTTGAGCTTAATTTTCAATACTGTATAATCTTTTAATTAAATATGGTATCACAATAATAAAATTAAGTAGATATATTTATAATATGGTATAATTTGCAAACCACAATAGTTGTATATAGCCTTATAAAAGTATAATCACAAGAAATGAAATACATCAGTGGAATAATGGATCACTCAGTTCTAATGTCCATTAACAAGTGTTAATACTTATTGTTTCTAAGTTGTTAGATAAAAATATAATATATTGAAAAAAATGAAGACAATAATCTTATGTCTCTTAGCTTCTATATTATGATTTATGACATGCATGAAAAGAAATAAGATAATTATGTATTGAGGAGCGATTTCTTTCCTACTGTAATGTGTGATACTGTGATAGTCATTTTATGAAGAGAAAACAAAGAGGATGTCCCGGCCAGTTTCTCACGATTTTATTTCTCACATGGCATATTCGTAAATAAACTAACAACTTTATTCAACTTTATTCAATTGTGGAGCCTACAATAAAGAAAAGGTTGATGATTTATTCACAAAAATGTCATTATGAGAAAAAAAGTTATTTCTCACCATGAGAAACAGAGAATTTCCCGAAAAGAATTATGACATACATATCTAAAAGTCTAAAATTTTGTACTAGTAGTTGTTAAAGTGTTTCAACTATATAGGGACGTAGAAATTGTTCTGTAATCCAAAGATAATGTCCATTGCAACCTAAATTAAGCTGGTAGTACTCATCATGGACTACGGAACGAAATAGGCCTATCATCTGCATAAATTTAATGTGAGGGATGGGGGACATAGACCACAATGGGCAAATATAGGCTCCCTTACTTCCGGCTGTTGTTATGTTGGTGCTTCCATTGTCCTAAGTTTCATGGATTAATGAACGCATATTTATAATAATTCTTGGCTTCATAGTGAAGTGTGTTTCCACTTGGCCGAGGCGCATGCACGCCATGTTTAGGGTGGTGTGCTACGGCTGCCGCTAATGGCGTGTTATTACTATAGTTAAATCTGTTGTAGGAGGGCTTGTTGTGTCTTGTGTCCCTCTTAATATCTTGCTTTATTTTCAAGGTTATGTTATTGTGTGATTCGTGCAGGTTTTGCATTGGTGTTCGCTTCTAATTCTTGTATGTGCTTTTTATTGTGTGCTCACTTATGATTTAGACTCATGAATCGGGCGTAGTATGTTATAATATCAAGACTATTGGTTCCATAAAAAAAAAAATAATAAAAGACCATCGGTTAAATCCTCGTCAAAATTTATCCCTATTGTTCGAACAAAATTGACGGATTGATATTTCAAATTATACTACAAATCAACATGTCTAATATGATTAAACATAAGATGTAATATTACTCATTTTATAAGTCAAAGTTCAAGAATTTATATTATGAGCAACATTTATTTAACTCTACTATTGTC